AGGGAACACAACAGAGAGTGCCAGATGGAGCAGGAGAAAGGTGGGGTGCAGAACTCAAATTCTAGTAAGAAGACCAGACTTAATGGTCTGAATGATACCAGAGGAACCCCGGAAAGCATGGCCCCCGGATTCTCTATCAGCTCAGAACTAAAACAATTTCTGAGGCCAACTCTTCAGACAGGGATTGGACTGGACTGTGGGACACAAGTGATACTCGTGAGGAGTGTCCCTCTTAGCTCCAGTAGATACAAGAGAATAAATGGGCAGCTTCTGTCCGGAGGTGAGATGGGAAGGCAGAGAGGGCTAGGAGCTGGTTGAATGGACATGAGGAATCAGGAGTGGAAAGGAGGAGTGTGCTGTCACAATTTGCGGAGGGCAATTAGGGTCACATAACAATGTATGTATAAATTTTTGTATGGGAGACTAACTTGAAATTTAAACTTCATTTAAACTACAACAATAAACAAAAAAATATGTTAGTGGCTTTACATTTCACATAAACATTATTCAGCAGTTAAAACAATTAGTATGAGCAAAAGCAGAGAAAGTGTGAAGCTAGATATAAAAAGAGGAAGGGCAAAGGGGCCAAGATGAGAGAGGAAGGAAAAGAGAACACAAAAGAACAGATATAAGCAAATCAGTAATTTGGTTGTGGACAGACGTGGGGGGAGCTTGAAGAAACATTGACTCAGAAACCAATGTTGATCATTCTCCCAGAAAAGTCAATCCACAGATTAGATAACCGTGACGAAAGAGAGGCTTCTACAGAAGTCGGCAAAGATGAAAGCAAGGCTTCTAGGAAAATGAAGCATGTGTCTAGCACTCAGCTCTTGGGAAGCTGGGAGTAAGGAGGGAATAGAGATGATATTAACATACATGATGCTCTAGGAGGATCTCCGTTTCCCAGGGAAAGATTCTCGAATCCTTCTCTTCTAATGTCCTAATTCTACTTTGTGGGCAAATTTAACATTGTCTTTGGGTGTGTGTGCGCCCCCTGTCTCTCTCTCCTTATCTATCTTGTATCTGTGCCAGTTTCAATGTGACTTCCTGGGTAATCACCAGACGTGTCCCAGGGTGAGCTGTAGTCAAGGGAGTCTGAGAAGTTGCCCTTATTAGCTGTGATTTGTCTTCTGCAACAGAGGACTCAGCTTCACAGCACTCTAGCCAATGTCCAATGAGTAACGGCCCTGGAGAGCTTTGCTGATAAAATGATCAGGGACGTTCATAGGGACAAACTTGAGGCCTTGAAAGATCCCCCAATGTCTCTTGAAACACCAAAGAATTACTAAGCATGTTTGGTGTAGGTTTGGTGTACTTATATTGTCACCTAATTATTTAAAAATAATCTTGTATAATTTTAATGGTGCCCAAACCTCCTGCTTGAGAGAGAACCAAATTCAGGAGCCTCACAGGGTGTTTGTTCCAGTAATCCTGCTGCTGTAGCATTTCCCCTAGGCCATCTTCTTTCCCATGAAACACAAAGACAAGATTCTCCCCGTCCCCTTTCCTCTTTTGGCCGAGGTTGGTATGAGCCATTTTGGTTCTGAAGATCTTGAGAGACCCTTCCACAAGACCTTGGCATCCTAACTATATTGTGACTGAGTCGAGAACCCAGAGTCTATATGGCAACTGAAATAAGTGACTAACTAGATAGTCCTATTTACTGACTCTACCTCTAATTGAGAGGTGCCCTGGTGGTGCATGCTGCACTGGACTGCTAAGGAAAAAGTTTGGCTGCTGGAACCCACCAGATGCTTCACAAGAGAAAGATGTGGGAGTCTGCTTCCGTAAAGATTACAGCCTTGGAAACTCTATGGGACAGTTCTACTCTGTCCTATAGGGTCTCTATGAGTCAGAATCAACTCCAATCAATGGGTATTATGTGCTATATGTCTGATTAAATAATAGCCACTTGTTTCCTGGATATAAATTAATTAGGTAGAAAGCAAAAGCCAAAACTCTAAAAAACAAAAACAAACAAACAAAAAATTGACCTGTATTTCAGATGGAAACCGTGGTGGCATAGTGGTTAAGAGTTTGGCTGTTAACCAAAAGGTCGGCAGTTCGAATCCACCAGGTGCTCCTTGGAAACCCTATGGGGCAGTTCCAGTCTGTCCTATAGGGTCACTACGAGTTGAAATTGACTCGACGGCAATGGGTTTGTGAGTTTTGGGTATTTCGGATGAATGTTTTAAATAGGAATTCTTTTTGGGGGTGAATTTTCAGGATAAATCTCTGGAATTTTTATCATCTTTTCTGCTGAAGAAATGTAGTAAAATGAGCAAAGATTTTGAAGGAAACGTTATTTTGACAGAATGTGACCCAAAGCCAACGTTCAGTTTATTCCTGAAGGTAAGGTTGTCTCTGCAGTTTCGCACCATTGCTTCACTGCACAGATAGGCACATGTGGTTAAGGGATTCATATACAACGATGAGAATTCTACTTGGAAAGCTTCCAACTTACCCTTTCTCCTAAGAACTTCATTTTCCCGGACAATTATAAAAAAGGGCATTTTGCAGTTTCATAGTATGAGTAACATTTATCCCTATCAGAAATACACTACCCAGGAAAGTGGATATTCTATTTAAGCCACTTATAAACCTAAGCTTCAAGCCACATTGACTTCAGTTACGCCCTTTGGGTTATGGGAGAGGAGCTGGGCATTTGCGTTTTGCTTGCCACTTATTCAGCAGAGTCCTAAAATACCCTAAAGAGAATTTTTTTTTTTCACTTGTAGCCCAGGACACATTTTTGTGAAACTAAAACTGTTCTTTTTTCCTAGTTGAGATTCAGATTTGAAAACCAGCTTGGCACTGTTTAAGAGGTCTTAGGGGAGCCCTGGTGGCGCAGTGGTTAAATGCTGTGCTGCTAACTGAAAGGTCAGCAGTTCAAACCCACCAGCTGCTTCATGGGAGAAAAGATGTGTCATTCGACTTCCCTAAAGATTACAGCCTTGGAAATGCTATGGGGCAGTTCTATTCTGTCCTAAAGGGTCTCTATGAGTCAGAATCAACTCCACGGCAATGGGCTTGGTTTTTGGTTTAGAGTATCTTAATCTTGGCCCAGACAGTCAGCGTTTGATTTTTGTTTCATGTCTCCAGCCACTTCCTACCTGTACAGCTATTGGTGTCACCACTGACTCTTTGAAGTGATTATTTCTTCACTATAAATAATCAGCACTCTTATTTATTTAAAAAAGAGAGTGTTCCACACAGATGGAAATTTTGGATTTTGTTAAAATTCAAAGTAAATTTTTCCCTAGCCATAAATGTAAATTTATGACAGGCTGACATGGGACATCCATGAGCTGGCTGGCTGTGGCTTGGGGACCTGAGATTATTATACAAAGGTTTTTGGCAGCCATAAGATCAGCTACAGTTACAGAATAAAATTTCATTTTTGCTTGAGTAGCCTAAGGAAAAAGGAATCTTGGTTACAAATGGATTTTGTTCTTCCACCTTACCCCTGGGCATCAAGGGGTCACCATCAGTAGCTTGATCTTCGACTAAGAAGGGCAGCAGTAATGACCATTCATCATCATTGTCTGTAGACATAAACACAGGGCCATTGTTCCATTGCTGGAGCGGACTGCATGACGATGCAGGCTGCTAGGTTGGGTTAATTTTTTTCTTAAATGTGCTAATAGATATGGAAACCATATCAAAGAGAATAAGCCATATTTAAAGTAGAGACAGGTGCAGAAAGGTATGTGAATTATGTATGATGCATTTTCATCAGGTGAAAAAAGGGGTGAATTTTGTAAAGTGTGGGCTTTTCCTTCTGACATCTTAAAAGTACGATAACCTACTTGAGTTCAAGGGATAAGTGACAAAGCAAAGCTGAGGCAGACACCTGTTACCCATGAATATGTATGATTACACAAGCCGGTGAAGAGCTGCTGAATGGTATCATCACTCTGCTGCTTCCCAGGGAAAATGGGAGCCTCAGTGAATTTAGTTTCGCAAGTATAATGTAATTCAAACGAAGCTAAAGGTTTTATTTTTTTTTTTAACATGAAATTTAGAGAGCGGCATCAAATTTATCAACTACTTAATTTACTGTGTCTAGGGAACATCGTAGTCACGAGTTGGAATTGACTTGTGGGCAACTGGCTTTTTTTTTTTGCAGGGAATGCTATGGATAGGGCTGAAGACAGATAGCTACTGAGAACCTCCTCTGGACCAGGGCTTCAGACTGGTTTGAACTGGTTCAGTCATGGCTGACAAAGCAAAACCAATTTTATAATTTGGCTTATTCAGAACAATAACCGGAACAGGAAAAATTTAAATGTCAAAGCCCTGGAATGGAAGACTCAGAAGAGGCATAGTGAGCTCTTTCAGGATCCTGATTTGTGAGATTGGATTATTGGCAGGACTGTGGAGAGTGACACACATTCAAAGCAGAGAGATCAGCCACCATTTTTGAGTATGGCACTGCTGTTTTAGACTCTGCTCAAAATCCAATGGGCAAGAGATTTGGTTGCTCTGCAACGTGTATGCTGCCCTTGTTTTCTAAGAGGGAGATTAGGTTTCTAGCAGGGCTTTCTTGTAATTTTTCCCATTCCGGTTATCATTCTGGTTCACCAAATTTAAAAAATTTGAGTCTGTTCTGGTTCCACTTCCTTAGCCATGACTGAACTGGGGTAGAACTGGTTTGAAGCCCTGTTCTGGACATAGTACCACTGGCACTTGGAGATCCCAGGCTGCAGCACATAAACACAGCCCTGCCTCCCAATAATCATGTCTCCATTTACTTCTTAGGAAGCAAATGACATAGAAGATAATTCTCAGGACACGAAGCCGAGTCTCAGAAAAAATGATCATAATTTTGAGGTGCTGGTTAAGCTGTTAAGCCAATTACAACACGATACACATTTTTCATTTGTTTTGCTCCCAACAGTGACATTTCAGCCTTTATTATGGGCAGTTCTGGTTTTTCCTTGGAAGTTTCCCTTAGGTAGTTTAGCCTGGCCTGATGTTAGGGGCTATTTGGTGATGGTTAGTGTGGCCCTCTAGAGTCCCTGTGTCAAGGTTCCCTTCCACACTACATGTTACAAACCAGAAAGGGGAATCTCAGTGTAACTGCCTGACTAGATACTTCCATTTCTTTACCTACTTCAACTTTCAGGCTTCTTGAGGCTGTAAACCTAGAAAGACATTATACTTCTCCTATGAGCTCTTAATGCTTTTTTATAGGAGAGAAAGCTTCAGGACTCAGCAGAAAAGCGAACTAGATTTGTCAGGGAACTCTTACAGAGTGAGAGGAAATATGTGCAGATGCTGGAAATTGTGAGAGATGTTTATGTAACTCCAATGAAAGCAGCATTGTCATCAAACAGAGCAATTCTGAGTGCTGCAAATATCCAGATCATTTTCTCTGATATTCTACAGATTTTAAGTCTCAACAGGTAAGCCCTGAATAAGTATTTTTAAAAATATTCATTATGCGGTGGAAGGAACCCACACACGGTTGTTTCAGATGGTGTATGGAGGCTCAGTTGTCCCCTTCCCCCCTTTGGGGACATTGACCTCGTTATAGAGGAGAGGGGATTCTCACCACATCACTCCCTAGGCTAGACCAGTAGTGTTGATCCCCAGGGGCTTACCTTTTCCCCAACTCAAAGCCATGGTAAAAGGAGTAGAGTTCAGTGCCTGGGGATTCTGGAATCAGTATACTGTACACGCAAAAGACAATGGGAAGGAGATCCATACTGAGCCGTTCTTAATTAGAAGTGTTTAGTTGAGCAATCAGAAAGAAACAGAAGGATTTAATGGGATTAAGTCACATGGGAACTTCACTTAGAGAACCCACGGCTGGGAGTCAATAACAGCCTATGTTTTGAGTTTATAACGTGAGAGAGAAAAAAGTGATTATTTCCAATGTGGTAAACTAAGGCAAACTGAGCTTGCATTTCTCTGCCAGTAACTAGCTAGGCAACTTGGAGCAGGTCCCTTACCCTCTCTGGGCCCCAACTCCTACAAAATGAAGCAGTTGAACTAGACTTCTCCCCGCTTTCAAGGCCTGTGAGCGCTGAATAAGGGATTATCTTAGATCCAAGGGGGAAATGGGCCAAGTGACGGTCATGGCATTTAGATGTTGAAATGACCTGAGCACTCTCCTCTGAGGACTGCAAGAAACCTTTACCCACTGCCTGTCTGGCAATGTGGGAACGGGACATTCAGGGCAGTCCTACTGAAGCCAGCCTGGATGCTGGGGTTCTATTCTGATACCTATTGCTTCAACTTAAGGAATCAAAGTGAAAAAGTGGGATTCCACCACAGTCAACCTACTTCCTCATTTCCTGGCTCCTCCTTTCCTGTCACATCTCACGGCTCTGTGCCAAGGCAAAAGTACCTGACAAAACTCTGCCCTAAATGACAAGGCTGAAAAAGCCTGTGCTGACAGAACTCACTTACTTTTTAAGTTTACAGGTTATGACTGGCTAATATTTCATGGCTATGCTTTTCTCATATTGCAGGCAGTTTCTAGATAACCTGAGAGACAGACTACAGGAATGGGGCCCAGCTCACTGTGTGGGGGAAATATTCCTAAAGTTGGGAAGCCAGTTAAACACATATACCAATTTCTTCAACAACTACCCTGTTGTTCTAAAAACCATCGAGAAGGTAAGTGATTGTGTTGCCTTCCAGTCAGGATACTAGCCCTTCTGAGCTTGAAAGGAAGCTTTGTGTGCAATCCAAAGGACTGGAGTCAATAGGAAAGGCTTCTTCCCTACTCTAGTTTCTGGGTCTCCTCTGAATACTGGGAGCTCTTTGAGGACAGGAACCTTAATTTCTTTCATTTTGTACAGTAGGGACTAGCACTGCACTTGGCACAGAGCAGTGCCCAGCAACTGGTTGTTGAACTAATCTGCATACAAACTGCCATGCTCTCGTCTGCCTCAGACACCCTGTAGCTCAGCTACAGGAAAATGTTGAACAGTTGGGTGGAAACAGGATTGTGAGCTCTGATTCCACTCTGCTACTACAATCCTGTGGGACCTTGATGAGTTCAGCTCTCTTACCTGGAAAATGCATTAATAATCCATGTATTTCTTGGAATAAGAATATTCAATTTAGGAAATCTCACTATGAAATAAGGAGTTTCTTTGGCTCACATTTCCTGGAGAGTTAACCCTGGAGCATGTAAACACTTTTTTCTGTTGTGACTTATGCTGTTTTTCAGTCTGAGCAGGAATATGCAACCCCCTCCTGCATCCCTTGCTGCCCTTGTTGAGATCTCTTCTGATTGGTATGGGATCTCTTTTTCTCCCTCCTTAGTTTGTATCCTGTGACACAGTAGGGCACTCTGCCAGGTGACTGCAGCTGTCACCACCTGACTGCACTGGGACCTTAAAGGGAAGGCCTGGGGGCTGGGAGGCCTCTGGACAATTCCTGACCCTGGACACCTGCCCTTTGTAGTGCTCCACCTACCCCCAACCCAGGGAGGTTAGTCATTGCTGGGAAACATGATTATGTAAAAGTTTCATGAACAAGGTAATTTTATAGAATTGACTTTGAGGTCAAGAATTAGAGTAAAGCATCATATATATCAGAAACAAATAACTTTCTCCTTAAATATGTGCTTAAAGAGCTGCCTATATTTCCATTGCAAATTGGAGCCAAAATTTTTATGTTCTTGTTGTTAAGTGCCGTCGAGTCATTTCTGACTCATAACGATCCTGTGAACAACAGAATGAAACACTGCCTGGTCCTGCGCCATCCTCACAATCGTTGCTATGTTTGAACCCATTGTTACAGCCACTGTGTCAATCCATCTCGTTGAGGGTCGTCCTCTCTTTCGCTGAGCCTGTACTTTAAGCATGATGTCTGTCTCTAGGGACTGGTCCCTCCTGATAACATGTCCAAAATACATGAGATGAAGTCTAACCATCCTTGCTTCTAAGGAGCATTCTGGCTGTATTTCTTCCAAGACAGATTTGTTCATTCATCTGGAAGTCTATGGTATATTCAATATTCTTTGCCAGCACCATAATTAAAAGGCGTCAATTCTTCTTCAGTCTTCCTTAATCATTGTCCAGCTTTCACATGCATATGAGGTGATTGAAAATATCATGGCCTGGGTCAGGCGTACCTTAGTCCTCAGAATGATACATTTACTTTTTAATAGCAATGCTATTTCATCAGCATAGGGTGTACATGTAAGTAAATACTCAATAAATGTTATCTATTAATATTATTGAAATAAGTGAATATTTGACTTCTAGGAATTAGCATTACTGACATCTTTTAGGCATGTATCTATTCTGAGTAAAAGGAGGCTACTTCCTGGGTGCTGTACTGGTGATGAATGAATAAATTTAAAAGCAGATATTATATACAGTGGAACACCTTTATAATGATAGTATGGAAAACATGATTAACAGTAGTATTAAAAGTGAATGCTATTCATAATCTCTTACTGTAAGGAAATAATATTTACTGCATGACAGGCACTTTAGGTATAGACTTTTTTCTCACCATAATTCTGTAAGTTAGGTACAATATCCATTTTTCAGATGAGAAAACTGAGGCTCAGAGAAGTTAAATAACTTGACAAGGTCACACAGACAATCTTAATTATAATGCAGGCCTATCTAGTTGCAAATTCTGTTCTCATTTGCCTATGCTGACTAAATTTAATGAATATAGTTGGGTCTATTGTAATCAAATGGTTAACCAAAAGGTTGGCTGTTAGAACCCACCCAGAGGTGTGTTGAAAGAAAGGCCTATCTACTTCCAAAATATCAGCCCTGAAAACCCTATGGATCACATTTCTATTCTGATACACATGGGGTCACCGTGAGTTGCAATCAACTCAATGGCAATTTTTTTTGTGTGTGTGTGGTATGCTTAATACACTATACCTAATTATTATTAAAATGTCAATAGCACTAATAAAACTTTGATTAGATTTAGATATTGGCTTTTTGCTTTGAGTGTTCCATAGATCATGCTTGCCTTGCTTGCCTAGTGGAACAGAAGACTTTACAATGGTCTTATAGCACAAAGTTTTGACAATATAATGCTCACCTTTTAGTGCAGAGAAATGATACCAGCATTCCGAGCTTTCCTGAAGAGGCATGATAAGACCATTATTACCAAAATGCTGAGGTAAGATCTGAAGGAGGGCTTAGCGGGGGCTCCCCAAAGACGGGGCATTCTCTGACCTTCACTTTGCCTTTCTCTGTGCCTTGTACAGCCTGCCGGAGTTGCTTTTGTACCCCTCCCGAAGATTCGAAGAATATATTCATCTTCTCTACGCTCTGAGGCTGCACACTCCTGCAGAACATGTTGACCGTGGGGATTTGACCACTGCAATTGACCAAATCAAACAATATAAAGATTATATAGATCAGGTTGGTTGCTGATAAGAATCTGTGTTCTTCAAAAATGTTATGATGCTTTTGTGGTACTCTTAGTTGAAGATCCTGAAACGCCTTATCCTCTTCTGGTAGTGGTCCTTACTTCAGTCTTTCATGCTTTTCATGCTAAATCAAAGTTGTGTTCAGTGATTTTTGAGTACTAATGGTATTTATTCTAAACGAAACAGCATGAGACAGAATGTTATATCTATACAATAAAAGCTTTATTTATATGAAAGTTTGAAGAATGGGGTACTTGAACTAATTTTTCCAGATAACTAAGGAAAAAAAAGTCAAATCCTTTGATCCTGAAAATACTTTTTAATGTGTTTATTAGCTTTCCTGCCTTAGTAAGTACCCTGATCATAGTGACTCTCTTAGAAAGAATTTAGCATTTTGGAGTGCAGCACTATCACCCTGAAAATATCATCACTGTAATGCGCAGTATGTATGGGAGTCTGGCCCGAATGTAAACTGATACCACACTATGCCCAGAAGATGCTTTGTTGAATACAGTCTTGTAGCTTGCCTCTTTGTTTTAAAACATCAGGTACAGAAAATTGGATTTTTATTATAATTTATGAGAATACTAAGATGTACATCAAGTACCATAAAATATTTTAATCAATTCCTTCTCTGTATAAAAATTTTATAATTTTAGTTTACCTAAAATCACTTTGTTTTCTAGGTGAAGCAAAACATCAGTTGGAAGGACCAGCTGTCAGACATACAGAGAATCATCTGGGGGTGCCCTGTATGTGTTCTGATGCACTTACTAAATCCGATGCTCATGAACATGATTATCAGCATTGGCAAAAAGAGACATACAGATTCAGATTCAGATTCAGCTGACATTTGTTCACTGCCTGCTGTGGGCCAGGTGCTGCCAGGCTCTCACATATCATATCCTTGTTATCTGCAAGGATTCTGTATGGGAAGAGACACAAGTGGGCTTGACCTCATCACTTTTCATCTCATCACTTTTCTGCTATCTTAGTTCCTTGCTAGGAGTCCCTGGGTGGCCCAAACATTAATGCACTAGGCTGCTAACTGAAAGCTTGGTGGTTTGAGTCCACCCAGAGGCACCTCAAAAGAAAGGCCTGATGATCTACTTCTGAAAAATCAGCCATTGAAAATCCGATGGAGCACAGTTCTACTCTGACACAGATGGGGTCACCATGAGTTGTGGTTGACTTGGTGGTAACTGGTAGCTCCTTACTTGGTATTACTAGGATCATGCCCCACTTTGAGGAAAGATTGGCTGGCATATTGAAGGCTTACAATAAATGTTGGTATTGAACTGAAGCAAGGATGGTTAGACTATGTCTTCTACTTGTTTGCTATCTCCCTGCAGATAGTACCTGGTACAGGATTTTGCAAACAGAGGATATCTGAAAAAATTTTAGAAGTCCTCTGTTGGCTATCTGTTGTAAACAGAATACCATCTGGCCCCACCCTACCTATTAAGCCTTCTCTCTGATTTCCCTATCCTTATGCCCACACCACACAGGTCTACTCACCATTCTCCAATGTTAGCCTGCCTCTTTTCATAACTCTGTGTTTTGTACATGCTCTTCCTTCTCTCAAGTTGCCTTCCTTTTCTACTCCACATGGTAAACTTCTATTCATCCTTTAAAAATCCAGTTCAATTCTCATCTTCTTTGTAAAAGTTTCCTCCAATATACCCAGTTGTGAGTTGCTCCTCCCCAAGTATTCTGCAACATCCTGAATATCCCTGTCACATTTTATTGCAATCATTTGTTCATAAGACTGTGAGCTCCATCAGGTATGAGCTATGCTTTTTCGTCTTCTATTCCCACACCTAACTCAGTGTCTGGCACACAGTAAGAGCTCAATATATGAATTACATTGAATGAAAATATCAATTGAAGATATTTTTATTTGGTCAAATTTAGGAAGCAAGATGGAATTTTGTCATAATTTAGATCTGCATATTTTGGTAGGGAAAGAGTAGAGTTGGCTGTATTGTACAAAGTCCAAATTCTTGAAACTAACAGAGTCCACAGAACTTTCAGCCCACACCTCTCTCTCTGCATTACTATTCACACCAAGCTTGTACTGACGGTCTCCCTCAGTACAAGTGCCTGACTTCTTAACCTGTACAAACTCAGTCACTTCTTTTCTTGATGGATCCTCCTTACTGCCCCACCGCCCCATTTTGTTTTTGCTATTAGGAGTGCATTTATAAATAAAACAAGAATTTAAAATAGTTTTAAAATAGACAACATCCTCAAATACAGTTTTCATTGTCAGTTCTGTTATCTTTCTAAACAATGAAAACATTCACTTAAACAGTGAAAACACTCACTTTTTCAGAATTCAACTGAGTACTAGTCAACAATTCCATATACTGGGATATAAAATGGTTCTGTAGTAGTGGGACTTTTTTTTTTAAAATTTATGTATGTTTCTCATTTTGTTTTTGATTTCATAGATTCTATCAGAAGTAAACAGATACCTGATTAGGGTTCAAGATGTAGCTCAACTTCACTGCTCTGATGAGGAAATAATTTTCTCTTTAAGGTAAAAATCAGCAACTCTTCTAAGGCTGTGAGCTCCTTAAGAGTGGGTGACTATGTCTTATTCATCTTGTATGCCCAACATCCAGTACAAAGGCTGGCATATTGAAGGCTTACAATAAATGTTTGTATTGAACTGAAGTTACACCCTCCCGCAACACACACACCTAAACACACACCACTGAGATGATGTAAGGTTCTTTATTGCCTTACTCTCATTCTATGCAGCTAATGGGTAGGAGGGGAGAAAAGAAATTGTCTCCACAGAAGCAGAAATTCTGGAGGTTGGTCACTTTCCTACTGAGAAACAAGCCCAAGAGTTGTGGGATATCCCACCAATGATCTGTTCAACTGTGATAAATAGACCATTTCATTATGCTCAAGACAGTTATTGAGGTCAGGATTAAAAATTATCCTACCATATGTTGTTTGCACAGTGCTCAGAGTAGTATAAAAAGCAAAAGATGGGAAAGTGTCAGTTTCCACAAACTAGTATCCCCTTTTTCCTTTAAAACAAGGGTGGGGAAACTTTCTCTGTAAAGAGTCAGATAGTAAATATTTTAGGTTTTGTGGGCCAAATGATCTCTGTGGTAACTACTCAACTTTGCTATTGCAGTGCAAAAACAGCTACATAAGCAGTACAATACATAACAAAAAATACAGTGTTAACAACAACACAGTACATAAATGAATGAACATGACTGTGTTCCAGTAAAACTTTATTTACAAAAACAGGCAGTGGGCCATAGTCTGCTGACCCTTGGTTAAAAGACCATCTGTCAAATTATGTTCTCGGTATAAATGGCAAAGCTGATGACTCAACAAATCTCAACCAAATGGAGTGGAATTAACTCCTTTAATTTAATTCCAATAGAGAAAATAAAAATTGGTTTTTCTGTTATTTCAGTGAATATTTTTGTGAATGTTTCCCAAAGGCATAGGGCAGGGGGGTAGGTGAAAGAAATCAGCCCCATATCCCTACCCTACCTTGGGTGATTCTTAAATGAAAATCAAATCACGTAATTGTGATCAGTTTTCCCATTGTCACCATGTCTTGTTTTAGTTTTGTTTTTTTCAGTAGCAATAGAAAAAAAGCTACAGTGATGAGGGAAACTAGCTACCAAACCAACAAGTCCAAACACACTGGTGTGTAGGAGACATGCTAGGAATTGCTCTGGTTTTTATTATTATCAACTCAGACTTCCGTCTTCAGTATTTGGACAACAAATAAGAGTACATTTGAGGCTTTCAGAGTAATGAGGGAATGCTAAATTGTTTTACACTGTACTTAGGAGGTACATTTTTATTTGAATAGGTATTTTCTCAATGACTTGCAAAGCAATAGCTATTAATGTAATTTCATATTCATATTTGAAATTAAGTAAATGCAAAACAGGCTCATATTCTAAAAGGTATCACTTAGAATATTTAGCCTGCAACCTTGTTTTCTGTTGTTTTAGAAAAACACATATGCCAGAAATGACATTACTATCATTTCCATCAGGCATTTCTACTTAGAAACCTACTCTGCTTATACTTATACATACAGTACTGACTCACATGCATATAAGGCTTTACAGTTTACCCTATATTTTAACTCTTTGGATTTGAAGTAATCATTACAGTCACTTGGGGAGGCAGGTAGGACAGGAGCCATGTCATTATGGGTGAGGAATCTGGGATGAAGTCAGTTGCTCAAGGACACAGAACTAAGTGTTGTTGCTGTGTGCCATCGAGTCCATTCTGACTCATAGTGACCCTATAGGGCAGAAGAGAACTGCCCCATAAGGTTTCCTAGGTTATAATCTTTACAGGAGCAGATCGCCAGGTCTTTTCTCCCATGGAGCCGATGGTGGGTTTGAACTGCCAACTTTTCAATCACAGCCAAATGCTATTGCACCACCAGGGACTAACTGCTTGTTGAGAATTCAAACCAGGCCTCAGTGCACAAACAGTGCTATATCCACTCACTCATCAGACCAGCTGGTGGAAAGATGAACTGAGCCTTCTCATAATAAACTCACCAGACTAAAAGTCTTGATGAGCATAAGTATTTAATTTTTAGGAGGTCCCAGTTATCTAATTTTGTCTTCTGTTGTTTGTGCATTTTTAATTGTGTTTGATACAGGGCTTCCAACTGGTTCCGCCTGGTTTGGTCATGGCCGAGGAAGCATCAGTGGAACAGATTCGAATTTTTAAAATTTGGGTGAGCCGTAATGATAACCAGAATGGGAAAAATTACAGGTCGAAGCCTTGCTAAAAACTTAATCTCCCTTTTAGAAAGCAAGAGCAGCATAAGCATTGCATAGCAACCAGATCTCTTGCCCATCGGATTTTGAGCACAGTCAGAAACAGCGGTGCACCACTAAAAGATGGTGGCCAACCACACTGCTTTGGATGTGTGTTGCTCTCCACAGTCCAGCCCGTAATCCAGTTTCACGAATCAGGCTCACTATGCCTCTTCCGAATCTCCCATTCCAGGGCTTTGACCCGTCATTTTTCCTGTTTTGGTTACCATGGCTAATCACCCAAATTGTAAACATCTGGGTCTGTTCCTGTTCTCCTTCATAGGCCATGACTGACTTGGTTCGAACAGGTTTGAAGCCCTGGTTTGATAAACTATTTATGCTGAAAACTAGGTCCCCTAGTTTTGTCCCTGTGTTATATTCCAGGAACTTTATAGTTTCAGCTGTAATACTTAGGTCTTTGATCCATTTTGAGTTAGTTTTTGTGTAAGGGGTGAGGTATGGATCCTGTTTCATTTTTCTGCAAATGCATATCCAGTTTTGCCAGCACCATTTGTTAGACTGTTTCTTCTCCATTGAATGAACTCTGACCCTTTGTTGAAGATCAGCTGCCCATAGATGGACAAACTTACTTCTGGATTCTCAATTCTATTCCCTTGGTGTGTGTGTCTGGCATTGAACCAGTACCAAGCTATTTTGATTACTATGGATGTATAGTAAGTTTTGAGATCTGGAAGTATGGGGTCTTCTGCTTTGTTCTTCTTCAATGTTGCTTTAGCTATTCAGGGCCGCCTTCCTTTTCATATAAAGTTGGAGATTAGTTTTTCCATTTCATTAAAGAATCTTGTTGGGGTTTGGATCAGGATTGCATTATATTTATAGATCGCTTTGGGTGGTATTGACATTTTCACAATGTTAAGTCTTCCAGTCCATGAGCATGGAGTGTTTTTCCATTTATATAGATCTCTTTCAGTTTCTTAGTGTTTTACAGTTTTCCTTGTATAAGTGTTTTACGTCCCTGGTTAGGTTTATGTCGAGGTATTTTATCCTTTTGGGAGTTTAAATTGACTCTTGTCCTGGGGATCCAAAAACCTACTATGATCCACCAGTCAATGCAGCTGTACGGGAGCTAGCTGGCACAGTTTTGGCTCAGGTCATCTCACAGGAGGACCAGTGGCCTACTGTTGCCTATGACAAAACTTGTGTCCTTAAAATTCCTCTGAAAGATTTATGTAGTTATAGAAGTTGGGTACTTTGGGACTTTATGTCTCTTGGGCTAGCTAATGCAGTAGTTAAACAACCACAAACACTTTCAGAATGCAGTTAAGAATTTAAACTAGAGTAGGTCTGTTCTATTTTGCTGATTCATTGAATCTATTTGTAAATAAGCGAAGAAATCCTATCCAAGTTCTACCCTTAGGGTTGCTTCGAGTGTGAGCGCAGGCTTTCTGAAAAACTACTAGGATTCCTAGTTTCCATTCAGGAATATATCACTCTTATTATATGTTAAAATCTCATAAATCAGATTAAAATAATAAAAACCTTTGTGTGTTTCTCTCTCCTTCACTCGTGTCCTCAGACTGCAAGCGGCCTCAGCTCCAAGCTCCAAGCCTGCTCCTTCCCTTCCCCGGGCCAACCACCCACCTGTTCCAAGTAGAATTCTTCCATTTACCCCTACTTCAGTGCTGTCCCTTCCAAAGGGAAAACATGAACATCTATTTACCAAAGGAAATCCTTTTAAAACCATGTCTTCAAAGGACCCTCTAGGCACACACTCTGATATTTCAGATAAAACACCAAGGTTTTATTACAGCCTTAAACATTTTTCTAAACTGGAAAAAGGAGTAATTGTTCTTATCAGTAATATGGTAAAAATATTGCCCCCCCCCCCCAAAAAAAAAAGGCAAGAAAATGGATGAAGTTGTTTGGCCTATTTAAAGTGGGCCATTTACCACATATAGCCCATCACACACACATCTAAAATGCACCCAACTTCTTTCCTCCCTCTCTCCCTCATCCCTAGTTCTCTTTACTCCATTGTTTTGATAATAACGTATCAGCTTGATCTAGTATATTTCAGTATATCAAAATACCAGTAAAGTGAAGCATGCTATTCCTTTGAGCCTAAATCATAATCACATAGAAGCTTAAGTAAGGGAAGGAAATGTCTGAAAGGAAGAGTTGGCTCTAGTGGTCGGTGAATACTGCATTTCTATTTATCTACACACCTAACATGTAGATAACCTAACACTCTTCCAAATAGTTGAACCTAGAAAAACCAAACCAAACCAAAACCAAACCAAACCAAACCAAACCAAACCCGTTGCTGTCAAGTTGATTCCTACTCATAACAACCCTATGAGACAGAGTAGAACTGCCCCATATGGTTTCCAAGGAGCAGCTTGGTGGATTCAAACTGCTAACCTTTTGGTTAGCAGCAGAGCTCTTAACTGTTTAACTCCCTGATCCAATCCTTTTCCTAGTTCTTAGGCATGGTTGTAACTAATAAATGATTGAAGTGCCTTGCTAGTCAAAGTGTGGTCTGCAGATCAGCAGCGTTGGCATCATCCGGGAGCTTGTTAGAAATGCAGACTATCAGACCACCCCAGATCTACTGAATCAGAATTTCCATTTTAACAAAATCTCCAGGTAATTCAAGTGCACATTAACATTTGTACTGTGTACAAGTCAGAGCCCTTCTCATACAAAGAGAATTATAAATGTGAATTACAGCAGTGGTTATAAAGAACCACCTAGAATCCTTTGATAAAAATACATTTATCCTCTGACCAATCAATTCTACTCTTGGTCATCCTAATAGAAATAGGGGCATATATATGGAATTTGTTTATATGAAAAGAATCAGTTTACTGCAACATTGTTCATAGTGGCAATAAAGAACAAATGAAAGGACAGAGGGTGGGATTACGAAATACTTGTTCAATGGACAAACTCAAACCACTCCATCAGGAATCCTCATGGCCCACAATATGGGCCTGAGACAGAGGGGGCACTAATCACATCAGGACAATTAGACTGAGAACTAGTGAGCCATTCAACAGGTCTGTGGTGGGGAAAAGCTTTGACTACTGACTTACCAATTTATAGATGGTTAATCATGTAGCAAACCACGTTATGTGTTTATTAAAACTGCCCTCTCTCCATTTTCACACAGGCGCTATGAACATGTTCATGATCTCGGCCTTTTCCTCTTCAATGATTCACTGCTGGTTTCCAGTCGGAGCACATCTCATACTCCATTTGAAAGGACGTCAAAAACAACCTACCAGTTCATTGCATCAGTGGCCTTGCATAGGTTGCTTGTAGAAGATATTCCAGATTCCAAATGTATGTATTTTTTTTCTTCCAAGAGAAAAATACCTTTAGAAAGCTACATTATATAAAACTCATTAGCTATTAAAGAAGTAGAAAAGGACTGTAATTATAATTGCCAGTTTGCAAATAATTTCCAAAGGATTAGGATTTCATTAAACAATGTAAACTTTCAGCTACCTTTGAAATAGCGAAAGAAAGGATTACTGGTATTGTCAGACACAGCCCCTCAACATTAGGAAAACAGCTTTTGAATCACAGAGGTAGGCATGACCCCACATCATCATGAGTTCTTTGAAGTAGCCCAAAATGAGAGCTGGAGCTCTAAACCACTATTCTGTACTGCCTCTGGGTGTTACAGTCTTGAAGCACTACTTCAGACTTTTATCTATTATTTTTTCATTCTACTAGGACTAAGTGATTATTAAAGATTTGATTATACCTTTTCTTAAGTTCATATTTAAATTGGGAGGTTTTCTATAAAGGAATTAACAGATTTGCAAGAGGTCTAGTAATTTAAACATTTCATTCATAATCATTTAGATATAAATTTCATTTGTTACAAAAAGAAATCCTACTTACACTTACTGTGCCTATTTTTAGTTATTATCTCACACTCTATTTCCCAGGCTTAAAAGGGTCCGTTCTCTCTGTCCTGTGTTAGGCCAGACAATCTGAGTGTAACATCTCTCATTCCAGTGTTTTTGATTGCATGTAAAGGCAGGACTTAAGGTTAAAGCTGGAAACAAGATCTCAGAGAAGGAACTAACCTAAAAAAAGAACTGCTCCCTACTAGCTTCAGTCCCATTTAAAATCTGAGTCCGAGAAAGAAACGAATCCCAAGCTCAGGGAATTAGTATTACCACCTAGAAGTCAAACTCAGGTAAAAAGGGTGTTACCTGTTAACTACTGAGTATGGTTAAAGGTTTTAAGCATGCTTCCTTTCACCTTCTCTTCCACTATAATCAGCTCTGCCTATGTCAGAGCATTGTTATATAACCTAATAGATAGTAGGCAATCAGCCAAATAGTTGGCTCAATTCTGTCGGTGGCCCTCATACCAAGGTTGTCTCGGTCTAGCTCTCAGCATCTTCATCTCCAATAACTACTAGTAAAGACTTTTATTAATTCCAGCTCCTTTTGGAGAGGCTGAGACTAGAAATTAAAGAATATTACATCATCTATCATTTGTTGTTGCTGTTAGGTACCACTGAGTCGGTTCCGACTCATAATGACCCTATGTACAACAGAACGAAATACTGCCCAGTCCTGCGCCATCCTCACAATTGTTATGGTTGAGCCCACTGTTGTGCAGCCACTGCAAATAATAAATAATTCCTCAATATAATTTATAATATAAAGACAAGATTATTCTATATTATAGCATATTTGAATTATTCAGTAATTTTAGGAAGTTATATTCTAAACTGGATTTATATTTGTTTTGAATCCCTGTTTTTAGTTTTAAAAAAGTTCTTATATATTTTCAAGAATCTTAAAACATTTTCCACTTTTGTTACCTGCAAAGATTAATGTACCTCAAATATTTTTACAGATATCAAGAATGCATTTATTCTTCAAGGTCCAAAACACGAATGGATTTGTGCTACAGAGGCTGAAGATGATAAATTCCTATGGTTGTTAGTACTCCAAAATGCAATCAAAAGTAATATGGAGAAGTGAGACTGGACTTAAAGGAAACATCAGGGTGAACAAGTCCCCCTGGCAAAGAGAGATGACATGTATTTTCTGTTCTGGATGATCTAGTAAAAGGCAGAATGAGTATTTGTCATGGATGACAGGAGGGTGAAGTAGGATGCTCGATAAGGTTCCTTCCAGCTTTTAAACTTAATCATCCTATGCTCAATTATGTGGAATGCACAATAAGAACAATTTGAGTCCAAAAATTTGAATCCCTTTTCTTGGCAGTTATTTATCCTGGACGATATTATTTAGAGTAATTTTGACTGATGAAACCTAAGACAGAGCAAGCATATTATGTTTATAGTTTTATGATCTAATGAAAAATAAAATCAGAATGAAAAGTGTTTCTTAAATGACCAGTCTAGAGAAATATTTTAATTTTTGGGTGATTAACTTTTTCATTAAACAATTATTGATTTAAAAAATATTTTTAAGAAATATAAATGGTGATTTATTTACTCCAAACTTTATCATATATACCCTTAGTATGACTGTACTGTTTTAGAGAACATTTAAAAAACACTACTACACACAAAATACTCAAAAGTTTTCTGTAATTTTAAAGTGCTTTTCGTTGGGAAACTTTAAATAAGATTAAAAAATAATTTAAATAAGATTTAAAAATATTTGTAACAATATTAAATTAGAACTGAAACACACACTTTAAAAAAACATAAATAAATGGAAACCCAGCAAAACTTGACTGTAACGGAAATTAGTGAAATAAAAACAAAAAAAATGTTAAAAGACAGTTCTGTTTTAAAAGAGAGGAACGCAGTAAGATAGTGTTAAGTACCTTTCTGAGTCTTTAAAACCTTCGTTTGATTATTTTAACAAATCGAAGTCATAACCTGTTTGCCACTTGGAAACTGTACCTGATGCATACAGCAGGAACAATATACTTACCTAGTTACAATGCTTGATGAAAGTGAAATTAATTTTGGAAGCTTTAGGCTATCAGTTTCCTTTCTGCTTCATATTCTCGTTTAAGGTAACAGAAGGTACTGGTACAATCTAGGATTGTGAACCTAGGCTATTTAAACATTTTCGTCTTTCAACAATGAAATAACAAATTCCTTTGAATTTTTAAAAATTTAAATTCTTGTTAAAAACGTTCAAAATTTAAAATATTGTGCTGTTTTGTATGTGTAAAAATCACATAATTGCTAGTTCTGAATCTGTTAAGATATATTCATGCAGTTTTAATATCCACAATCCCATAGACAGAATTAACCACTAAATGGAATATTTACTGTTAGCAGTTAATGCAAATTTACATGAGATCAAAAGGTATATATGGTGTAACATAAAACAAATCCTAAGACTGTGTATCACCTTGAATAGGACAAGCTCCAGATGCTCTTTGTTAACAGGAAACAGCTGCTTACATGGCAAAGGAATGGGTAACAAGACAGCTGAAGGTAAACTAGAAATCTTGAGGAATTTCCATTTATTTGGTGAATAAGTAATGTCCTCATAAGTTTTTAAAATATATTATCTGAAAATAATCTGTGTAAAGACTAAGGGGCATAAGCTTTTAATGAAGTGTACAAATCATGCAAAAAAGCAGTAGTGTTTTCAAGTGGACAGTACTTATGTTGTGGTTCCACACTTTTCCTTCACCTCCAGAGGACAATTAAGAAAGGCCCGTTTTCATAGCTATTTCATAATTTATACGACTGCTGCTACATTAAAATTTCCACATAAAAAATTTTAAGACACTACTGAAATTGATCAAGTTTGTGGAAAATATGCAATCATCCCCCAAATTGATAGAGAAAAGAAATCTGAAAGTACCATGGGACTTGGGAGAATTGTGATTACTGCAGAGAGGAAGACTTTTCTAGTAATTAGCTTGTGGTAGAAGAATACCTTATCCAGGATAGTTCTTTCAGTTCAGAAGTTAAATAGGAAACTCATTTTAAAGATTTTTACAGAACAAATATAGATGCTATATGTAAAATATTAAACCTAAAAGAGGACAAATTAACAGTTAATTTAATTTTGTTTTCCTTTCACAAAGATTTTTCAGTCTGCACTTGAGAAGTAAATGAGAAGCCCATTCTGTAAATCAAATCAGAGTGAGGATTTGGCCATGTAAATATAGTGGACCAATGTATTGCTAATGCTACAGAACAGCAAGGGTGGAGTGTACCAACAAACACAATATACCCTCCAGAAAAAGTCATCCTGGCCCTTTTATTGTTGAAATTAAAAAATAAAAGATACTTCAATACAATGGTGAACATATAGGGCAAAACAGAATCATAAATTTAATGTTGAATTAAGCAGTGAGCTGAATGTTTGGGTCTCCAAATTGGCTTTGAGCCCAAAACCGCTTAAAAATGGGTATGTTCACAGTTAACGGCAATTGGCTTATAGGTGAGAGAATGGTCGAAGTTGTTCCAGTTGAACTTCCAGGGAAATTCTCTCCTCAAGAACATCCTGAAAAAGATACAAAGGTCAAGTTATGTATCAAAGTATATAAAACTGAAGGCACCCTTAACAACAGCCCTGCTTCAAGAAAACAATTTAAATTTGTTCAGAAGAGTGGATAGTGGACAGCTGTTCGTATTTTAAAAAGATACTTCACTTTAGAAAGGTAGCTTCTTTATACATTCATAATATTTAAAATATGACCTAATGATTAAAATCCTTTTCTTATTATATAAATCAGGGTAACAAAATGCTTTTTTGTCTAATCAACAGAAAAGCCAATATTGGCAATTGATACATATGAATGCATGGATTTTGCATGAAGTGAATGTAGATGAATCAGTTAACATAAATTCTTTTCCCTGTGATTACATCTAGAATAGCAACTCCTGGATCTCATTTTCACAAAGAATAAATTCATTTTGCATTCAGAGTTTCTAACCACTGTTGATTCTGAGCAGTCTTTTCAGATTCTAGACTATGTACTTTTCCTTTTTTCTTCTTCTCTATCATACTGATAGTATCTAGTTTTAAGTAGAACTACCTCTTCCTATTTGGAAACTTACTTCCTATTTTCTGTTCTCAGAGGTAATGAAAAGTGATTTTTTAAATAGTTCCTTTATACTTCTTTCTGTGAGTTTCCATAGTGCTTCAGAAAAACATGCACAAACAAATTTTTCATCTTTAAGACATGGCACCAGCTAAAACTTGCCCTTAGTTTTGCATTCTTCCTTTTCAATGGACCAAATTCATAACCATACAACTACAAATGCCTTTTCCTTTGATCAAACAGTTAAACAAGAATATAACTCATTCAACACACCTTTATTGAATGCCAAACATAAGCTTGGTTTTGAGGATACAGACAAGATGGCCGTACATTTACCTAGGATAGTCCCAGTTTACGCCTGATATCTTGGTCTAATTATTAATACACCCCTGCCTCTTTTCTCTCAGAAGTGTCCTGATTCGGACAATTCATAATATGGTCACTCTGAACAGAAATGACTGTGGTTCACCCTTGAGGAGTTCAGTTTAGTAGGACAGAGAAAGCAATGACAGGACAGGGTGATAAATGCCAGATGAAGGCTATGAACAGGATGTTATGGGTAGGAGCTAACTCTGCGTTCACTTTACATCTCCATGGACTCTTTTCCCATCATCTTTGTGGTTTGTAAACTTGCTTCTCAAAGTGGGGTCAACAGAGCAGCTGCATCTCCATTACTTGGAAGCTTATTAGAAATGCAGAATTCTTAGCTGCACTCCAGGCCTGTTCAGTCAGAATATGCACTGTAACATGATTCTGGGTTATCTGTATATACATTAAGGTTTGAGAAGCACTGGTTTATAAGACATGAATGCTTAATAATGCTGGGGAACCATAAGTGAATCTGGGGCTAATTTTTATTCTTAGGGATTCAAAGAAATCATGGTTAACCCCGTTAAAAAAACCCCGTTGCTGCTGAGTCAATTCCAACACATAGCAACCCTACAGGACAGAGTAGAACTGCCCCATCCGGTTTCCAAGGAGCACCAGGTAGATTCAAACTGCCGACCTTTTGGTTAGCAGCTGTAGCTGTTAACCACTACACCACCAGAATTTCCTCATGGTTAACAGGATGTAGGAAAAACAAGCCCATACCTCTCAAGTATTAGATGACAGATGTACCAAATGATAATACACCTGCAGAAAATATACTGGCCATAAACACTATTTCTATTTAAGGACTTTTTTTTTCTTTTTCTACTTGCAAGAATATCTAAATTGCCTCCACCCCTCTTCTTTAGATCTGTTTCCAAACCAAAACTAAAGCCATAGCCACTAAGTTGATTCCACTTTATAGCGACCCTATAGGATAGAGTAGAACCGCCCTATAGGGTTTCCAAGGAGTGGCTGGTGGATTCGAACTGCCAACCTCTTGGTTAGCAGCCAAGCTCTTAACCACTGTGCCACCAGGGCTCCACAGATCTGTTTAAATCCCTTTAACAGAATCTGAGTTATCTCTGATGAAAGGATAAACTAACAATTGTCAAATATTCTGAGAATTAATAAAGTGCAGACAGCCATGCATGTGATCTTGGACATACCTAAGGTCACATGTCTTCTCTTTCAGGTTTCTTTATGAAAGTTGATGAACATTATAAAAATAATACATAAAAACAAAAACCAGTTGCTGTGGAATCTGTTCTGACTCATGGCAACCCCATGTGTTACAGAGTACAACTGCACTCCATAGGGGTTTGAAGGATGTGACTTTTTGGAAGCATATTACCAGGCTTTTCTACAGAGGTGCCTCTGGGTGGGTTTGAACCACCAACCTTTCGGTTAGTAGTTGAGTGCTTAACATTTGTGCCACCCATGGTTTCCTGTGATGCCTTATATATATGTAGGACAAAGCAATGCATACCAGAATTCAGTATAAAAAATTGCTTTTATTCTAAAAGATTCAAAGACTCATAAAAAATTTAAATACACATTTCTCTTGCTACGTGGAAAGTTTCATAAAGTTTCATACAAGCATAAGAATTGTTAGATCACGTCTAAGTTCCCCTTCAACTCTGAGATTCTCTGAGTTCACGGAACTTCCCAAGGAAAATTTAGAAATTACATTACCTTTAATTGTTGCTGCAATTCACTATTCAATCTGGCCAAAACTGTGTTGGTTTCCTTATTTCGTCTAATTGATGCCTGAATAGCTTTCTTATCTTTCCCAACAGATCTGAGAACATAAAGAGGGCAAAAAAACAACCTTCATTTCTTATCTTTAAATTCTCTCCATTCTTTCCAGATCTATTTCTAAACATGGCAAGTAGAAGGAGCATTTTTTTCCTATTAACATAGCTCAACCACGTTGTTCAGTTTCCATGATCAATCAAATGTATCCAAGCTCCAGAAGCTTAAGTTTATTGTTGTTATTGTTTTAGTCTTCTTTTACAGACTCATCTGAGTTTTATTAAAATTTTTTTTATTGTACTTTAGATAAAGGTTTACAGAACAAATAGTTTCTCCTTAAACAATCAGTACACATATCATTTTATGACATTGGTTAGCAACCCCACGACATGTCATGTCAACACTCTCCCTTCTCAACCTTGGAGGACGTTTTTTTTGGTGAAAATATACATAGCCAAAGTTACACCACTTCAAAAGTTTCTGCATGTACAATTTAGTGACATTTATATTCTTCCAGTTGTGCTGCTATTCTCACTGTCCTTTTCCAAATTATTCAATCACCATTATCTTCAACTCACTGCCCCCTAGGCTTCCCATCAAACCTTTTGAGTTGCTGTTGTCCATTTGATCTCACATAGATAATTCTTTTTTTGTACCTTAGATGAAGGTTTGCAGAACCAATAGTTTCTCATTAAACAGTTAGTACACATATTGCCCTATGACAATGGTTAACAACCCCATGACATGTCA